AAGTGGAGCGCACCCGTGGCTTACCGCCGACAATGCGAGTTAAAAAACTAGTACCTCCAAGGTACTAGTAAACGTTTGCCACGGGCTGCCTCCAGACTCCCGTGGTGTGATTGCACCGGCGCACGGCATTCCCCTCCGGTCCCTCGTTTACCTGCCAGCGCCGAGAGAAGGACCCGTAGTGTGCCACCGGCGCATCTGATCGCGTAATTGTGGATCAAACTGCGCCGGGGCAATTAGCCACGCCTCCCCCCGCGATATCCGGCCCATCAACAAGATGGGCTGCAGGTGACTGCGATTAGACCATTTCCTGTTTTATCATTATGTAATCTTTTGCTAATCCCTACACAGTTTCTTATTTTCCTTTTTTTGGTGTGTATTTAATTTTGCCCTCACCTTGACGGCCCAGGCTAGCCTGATCTCATCAGCTAAGCAGGGCTGGCCCTGGTTAGTACTTGGATGGGATACATGGAGGCAGACAATGGCAAACTACCTCTTGCCTTGAAAACCTGACAGGGGCCACTTCTGTGCTGTCAATTTTTGTCACTTGTTTGTCCCTTTTGCTTCAGGGTTCCCCTCCCCCAATGAGTTTTGCTCTCTCTAGTAGTCCCAGAGGAAGCAAAACACATGTGGAAAAGCCCCCCCCCCCAAAGCAATAGAGAAAAATGAGTGACAAAAAGTGGCCAGGGTCTCCATAAGTCAGCTGTGGCTTGATGGCACTTTCCACCACTACCACTTGATTGCTTTGCATGTAATACAATTGGAAGTTCGTACATTTTTTTCTATTGCCCATGTTTTATGTATTTTTATACCGTTTTTCTTGGTTTGAAGAGTCTATTACTTTGGTGTTTTATTTGCTGTGTTGTGCAGTGTACTTAATAGATCATTCCCATTTATTCTAATCAACCCCATGAGTCTCTGCATGTTCCTCTCTGGAGCCCATTTGAATCCCCAACTTTCCCCAGTGTGGTGTTTACAGCGCACTTTTGTAATGTTCTTTTAAAGAACTGAAGACAGGAAAGCACAGAGAGAAACATTTGTTTCAAAATTCCTTGGTAGGATGAATTTTCAAACCTCACCTCAGTCTCCCTTATCCTCTAGAACAGTGGTTCTCAACCTTCCTAATGCCGTGACCCTTTAATACAGTTCCTCATGTTGTGGTGACCCCCAACCATAAAATTATTTTCGTTGCTATCATAAGACCATCAAAAATTTGTGTTTTCCGATGGTCCTTAGGCGACCCCTGTGAAAGGGTCGTTCGACCCCCAAAGGGGTCGCGACCCACAGGTTGAGAACCGCTGCTCTAGAATAAACAGACTATTTTCCACCTAGCTACAGCTTGTTGGCAGACAGAAGTCCATTTGGGGGCTTTTTCCACAGAATATTTGGAGAGGGTTGTGATTTCCATTAGCAAGAAACATGCTTGTCACCTTTGGCTAGGTCACTCGCGTATAAATTGTTGCCATGCTGCCACCTTATATAGCATCTATAAAGGTTATGGACTATGACTGTAAAGCTGGACTGTGCAAATAGTGTGCCAGGGCAATGGACTGAATGGTGACCATGAGACTGTGCCACCCTGCTGGAACGCTGGCATGTGCCCAGACAAGGGCAACGTGCCTTACCAGATGTGGACCCATGGAAGACTGGACACCTAACCTAGCCTCCCCGACCCTACAAACGCACAGGACCAGCAGCAGTTCACCAAAGAGAAGCCATGCTCTGCAAAGGGAAACTGGACATTCCTTCCCAGACGCCATAGAAAGCTCTCTTCTCCATCATGCTGGCACCTTCCCCCCATCTCTGCATATTGACATCTCCAGGTAAAGCACCTAGGTGACTTCAGCCTCAACAAAAGAACTCCTTCCATGATAAGATTAGGGAGTAGTCACATCTTCCAGCTAACACAGCTGTTTACCATCGGATTTAACCGCAAGTATTGGCAATGGAGTTGGGACATTACTATTCTTTTCTCTTCCTTGTCTCTCCCCTTCCCCCTTAAGACCACTATTTCAATTGCCCAACGATTAATCCCTTTTTTCTGGCCCACTAACAGTAGTTATGCTTTGTGAAGACTACATGACAGAGGAAGCATCAGCTTCTAGACATTTTAGGGTATAAAAGTCACCCCACTGATCTTCTACCCTCCGAAACCCCACCCAATCTTGCTGGTTCCATTCTTTGCACAGTTTGGAGACTTCTTCTCCCCTAGTTATTTCTTTTTCACTGCAGATTCAACTCACCACGTTGGACAGGTAAAGTATTGCCTATCAGCAATATTACCTGCTAATGCAAATATCTCTGTACCTTTCTATCTGAATTCCTAGATCTGTATTGTTTGTGTGCATGTTTGATTTTATATTGTGTGTTTGAGAATCCTTTTAGTAAAAGAAATCACTGCTGTTTAAGATCTAGTCTCAGTGTCTATTTCTAGAATCTGGCCAAAGTTGGACTCCCGTATACACAGGTCTAATCCTATATTTAATGCATCTGAAATCACTCTACTCTCCAATTATAAGGACAGATGGACTCCCATTCTAGCTGTATCTGAAGAAGTGAGCAGTGTCTCACGAAAGCTCATGCCCTACCCCGAATTTTGTTAGTCTTTAAGGTGCTACTGGACTCTTGCTCTTTTCTACTGCAACAGACACACTAACATGTGAGAACCATCTTGATCTACATAGACAGGAGCAAATGTTGATCCCCAAATTAATCCTGTGTGAGTACCATAAAACATTCAAGTTGCCCCTCTTTTTACTCAAATCAATGAATCTGGCATTATTCCTCAATCATGGAAGCATGCAGTGATAGTTCCAATACATAAGAAAGACCCAAAAACAGTTCCTACTAACTATAGGCCTATAAGCCTGCTTTCAGTAATAGGCAAAGTGTATGCAGCTTTTTTAAATCATAAACTGCTGGACTGGATAAAAACAGAATCTATAATTTACCCTGAGCAAGCGGGATTTAGAAATGGAGTCTCAGCCTTAGATCATTGCGTGGTACTGTATCATCTTGCCGATAAATACTCTTCTTATTCAAAGGGTTCCCTTTATGCAGCATTTATGGATCTCAGGGCAGCATTTGATTCAGTCCCCAGATGCCGCCTCTGGGCCAAATTGTCCAAAACATCTCTAGACAAGAGACTTCTTTGGCTGATTTACAAACTGTACGAGAATCCTACTGCACAAATTCGTTGCGGAGTAGATGGGCAACTTACAAATACCATTCATCTCTCTAAAGGTGTTAAGCAAGGATGCTTATTAGCCCCCACGCTTTTTAATCTTTATATAAATGATGTTGTCCCATATATCAAAAAAACAATCTGTCACGCACCCATACTAGCGGGACAGGAAGTTCCTATACTACTTTATGCAGATGATGCAGTGCTGCTATCCAGATCAGAAGTTGGCTTGCGTAAGCTAGTGAATGCTTTTACTGATTACTGTATCCAAGAGGGGCTGATGATCAATTATGAGAAATCAAAAATAATGGTTTTTTCTAACAAACCTTGTTTAAAACAAAGATCATGGAAGGTTAAGGGTGGGGAGATAGAACAAGTGTCTCATTTCAAATATCTGGGGATAGTGTTCAGCTCCAGTTGCCGCTGGAAACATCATATAAGAGCAGCAACTGAAATCGCTAAATTAAATTCTAATGCCCTCCTTAAATTCTATTATTCAAGAGGCGGCCAGTATGTCCCAATGGCCATTGCAGCTTTTAATGCGAAAGTTACTTCACAATTTTTATATGGGGCTGCGATCTGGATTAAAGAAATTTCGGAATTATCAGATCAGATCCTTCTCCAGTTCCTGCGTAAAATTGCAGGAGTCCCTAAATGTGTCGCAGGGACGGCACTTAGAGAAGAATTCGCACAATGCTCCTTTGAGTCAAGAGCCTGGAAGGCAGCCTTTAAATTGAGACTGAAAGTTCTTTATATGACACCTAATGCTCAAGGAGGTCTTCTTTATCTTTTAAAAGGGGATAATTATAAATGTACGTGGGCAAAACATATAGATAACAAGCTGGAGTGGATTGGTCTCGCCCCTACGGGGCTTAATAATTTAAATTATCAAGAAGCGCTAAATTTGATGAGATTGAGGGTGACAAACATTGACCGACTCAGCACTTCAATTCGTGCTAGGCGAGTATGCTCCAACTCTGCCTTAGGGATTGTTCCACCTAAGAAAACTCCCTCATATATGAGCTTCCTTACATCCCCCAGATCTAGATATGTCTTCACGCTTGCAAGGTTGAATGTTTTTCCAACTGTAGAGCTAAGTGGCCGTTTTGCTAAAATACAGTACTCAAATAGATTGTGTAATTGTGGATCAGGTGCAATAGAGACCTTAGATCATCTTATGTTATTTTGCCACCAATGGATTGACCCCAGATCCTGCTGGATTACTCCTATTTTACAAAGATATCACCTCCCTATGGAACCCTGGGTGATAACCATACTATTAGCTGATGAGGACCCTGAAACGACTCGCTTGGTGGCAAAATATCTTTCAATAGTGCTATCTTTGAAGCGGCTTTGAAATGTTATGAGTACCTTTTGTATACAATTTTAAAATTTTAAAACTAATTTCCATAATATCATGGGATTTTATAGAATTCATTGAAGTTTATAAAATGTGGTCTGATGTTACTGATTGAGAGCATGTTTACTAGCTTTTATTGTAAAGGCGTTCTGTCTAAATTTCTTGTAATTTTATGTAATGCATTTTATACTTGTTGTTTGCATGTTTGGCTTAAGACCTCGGGTCAATGAAGCTAATAAATGAAATGGAAAATGGAAACATTCAAGTTCAGTTCTCCTCTCTTTCCTCTACAGGAATGAATCTCGATCCTAGCCGAATTAATCCAGTCTAAACCCACTGATTTCAATGGAACTGGAGTCGCTCTGTGTAGAACAATACGGTAAATAACTGTAGGCCTGTAAGCAGTGGAAAATGTTTCTTCATTTGGTTAAAGCCAGGAATTCTCTCACACAGGGGAAGTATTGTCACATATGTAAACGTGTTTTCTGGGTGAACAGGAGATCTGAGGCCTTTAGCAGAAGCACAAACTATGACACCTGAACACAAGCCTAAGCAAGTCACAGGGGGAGATGCTGCAGGAAATGTGGCTCCCAAACCACTTACGGAGACCCAGCACTGCTATCTTTGACGACTTCTCTCATACAACAAGAGGCAGGTCAGTTTGGGTTGACTACTCCAGGAAAGTATTCCTTCTCGAATTTCTGGAAATCTTCATCAGTGAAGACCGTGCCCTCGGGCTTCTTCTTCTTTGCCTCCGTCTCTGGGTGGTCTCTAGCTTTCCTGCCTCTATTTTGCGCCAGAACCTTTAGACAATACAAGAGGAAACGAGTTGCATCCTTTGCTAATGCAGCACAAACAGTTAAGGCTGTTTAACTCTCAATCCAATTTGTTCCAGACCATGGGGTACATTTGATCACAGAATAATAACTGAAGCAGGACCCTCTGTACTCACTACTAACCCCCCCCCCAAAAAAAAACCCTAAGAAAGTCAGCTCTTGTGTTCAGAGTAAGTTATGCAAATCCAGTCCAGATCCAGAACTCTAAACTATGTTGTCACATTATACACATGATACAGAAATCCAGTCACACCTGGTCAAATTGAAAAACTGATGGGATTTCTTTCTGGTAAGTATGCTTTGAAATGTGTGCACAGAATGGCTGGCCATGGAGTACCAAGTGGCACTTAACAGTCCCAGTCCCGTGCAACATATAAACATGCAGTTTCCCTCTTTGCCCCAGCATTTTTCCTGCTTTGCTAAATGGCCCTGAAAACCTCTTTCAGTCTAGTGCTGACATCGGCTAGATATGTCTTTTCCAATTGGCCATAACTTATCTCCACCCTATAATTTTAACTCACTCCTCACCTGACCCTGGAAAGATCCTTGTCTGTTTTTCTCTGAAGAGAGTCCTCTCAATTGCATGACAGGTTTTGTCAGCCCCTTGGGGGGGGGGGTTCAGTGCTTCTTTTTAGGACTAGCAGACACTCTACAACCTCTCTATTTAGCTTATGTAATTAGGTTGTAAAGCTTGAGTTAGTGGGGTACAACTTTTTAAATACAAAGTATATTCAAGCTCCGTGCTAGTAGTTTCTGTTCTTGTCTACCAAAATATACTTGAATGGATTTCTTGTTCTCATGGGTATTTAGGAAACAGGGATTCTATGTTGTATCTCAGTCCTATTACATCAAGCTACATTTCAGTTTGTGACCAAGGGACCAGCACAAAAGGAAAGAAAAGTGTGACACTTCCTAAAGAAACTGTTATTTCCTTCAATTTATATCCCGCCCTCCCCACAAAGCAGGCTGAGTGCAGATTTACATCATAAAAATAGAATAACAAAATACATACAATAAATGCAATAAAATAAATAGAACTCTAATGCTTTCAAATAAATTATACCTCAATAGACACATAAGAGCGACTCATAGGGGGAAGGAGGGGGGAGGCCTTCTGCCTCAACTGAAGGCCTGGTGGAAGAGCTCCGTCTTGCAGGCCCTGCGGGACTGTAAAAGCTCTCGCGAGGCCCTAATTTATGATGGGAGCTCATTCCACCAGGCAGGGGCCAGGGCCGAAAAAGCCCTGGCCCTAGTTGAGGTAAGTTGGATATCCCTTGGGCACCAAATGGTCATATTTACATTCTAGTACATCTTCAGGGATTTGTGAGAGTTTTCATTTAGATGGGCTACCAGCTCCAAACTGACATTGAACTTGAATTCTTTGGTCTAAAAATACTAATTGTTCAAGAATTGAAGTGTTTTTGCAAGAATAGCACAGTGAAAGGCAGTATGTATTTATTATTATTTATATAAAACATTTTAAGGCTGCCTTTCTGCCCAGTGTAGGGTCCTCTCTCTCGTCACAGCCAAATTTCTGGATACTTAAATCCAGAGACTGGAGCCATGAATAGACAACACAGTTCTACAAACCTGAAAACCACTCCAGCATTTGAAGAAAAAAAAAATCTGGTATCTTGGGGGGTTAATCCCCCCCCCAAAGTAACAGAAGCAGCACCTCTAGCTTTAAGAAATGTACACCCTCAGTGGCCATTCCTAGGCAACCCCAATTGTATTTCCAGCTGTCAAGCCTGGTTTCTGTCAGTAAAAGGCAGGGGATGAGACAGAGCCTTTGAGATATGACTTATTGGGGCCAGACTTAGCAGCAGCCACTGAAAGACTTGATACAATGCAACTTGCATGACTCGCCCAAGACTGGCTGCTTGCTCACCAGCAGCCCCCCACCTCAAAAACAAGAACACAAAACCAGTGTGGTGTATTGGCTAGAGTTTCAGACTAGGCTCTGGGAGACCCAGGTTTGAATCATCACGAAGCTGCAGAAGCTGAGTGACCTTGGATTAATTACACATTCTCCGCCTAATTTGCCTTACAGGGTTATTGAGAGGATAAAATGGAGGACAGGAGAAGGATATAAACTGCTTCAGTCCCCCGTTTTGGAGAAAACTGGGGTATATATGAAGTAAATAAATAATATAGCTGAAGGAGGGCAGATAACAGGTAGGCTGGTTAGTGGATGGGAGGGAGAGAAGAAAGGAAGAACTGAGAATATGGGGGTCACCAGGAGGGCAAGAAGTGGTATGAGGAAGAGGATACAGGAGGACGTGTCCCTTGCAAGCCCTTGTGTGTTCCCCACTGTGCTGTTGGTCCCTCCCTACAACTCTCACCAGTCAGCATTCTGGCTGTAGCATTTTGTAATAAATGTAGCTCCTTGACACTCTTCAAGAGCAGTATCACGTAGATAACACTGCAGTAGTCTAATCTAGATGTTACCAGGGAACTACATTATGCTATACTGGGGAAAGAAAGCTGCCTTCAAGCATTCCTAAACTTCTCCTGCTTTTTTCTCAATTTATATCTTGTAACTACAGATGTGGACCTCACCTAGTTTTTGAATACATGTGGCACTTTTCCCAGGCGAGTCTGTGCCAGAAGGGGACAAAATGAAGTCAATCCTAGTGACTTGCTACAGTAGGCTACCAGCAGCCGAGGCTCATCCAGGCTAATTTCCCCCCTTTTCTTTCTGCTGGTATTAACCTGGGTAGGGCAGCTCAGATCCATCCTAGCTGACTTTTTCCTGTAGGTATTTAACCCAGATGCAAGCCAAAAAGGCTCTTAGCCCAGGACCTGCGATATACAGCTTGGTGGCCCAGCCCAGGTGGGTTTTGTTTTGTTCATATATTGGTTTTTGTATTTTGGAGCCTCTTCTTTCTTGTAAGCAGCTTTGGGTTCCTCCAAGGAGAAAAGTGCCCTAAAAATGCTTAAATAAAAACTCAGCTAGGATGAACAAAGGCCTTGAAGGCAGGGAGAAGGTTGTGAGTGAGTGTGGCATGACAAGGAAGGAAAAACAAAACACTGAGCCGTGCAGAGTAGAAGACTCACCTTCTGAGTGATGGCACTGCCTGTCACAAATTGGCTACTCATCATGTACTGCAGGTTTTCCTGAAAATGGTCTACAGCCTGGAGTTTCTTATACTCCTCTAGGAAGAAGTGAGAAAATAACTGTAAGCAAGTTTGCAGAGACGATAAAAAACACAATCAGGTAGGTTTATAAACAAGATGAACCTGAAAAGCACTCTGCATGGGAGGTAAGAGTGTGTCCTCATCAGCTGACTTCCCAGCCCTCTTTAAATAAAGCCATGGATTCTCCCTAAAAGCTCCTTGATGTCATAACAGTCAGAGCTCTTATGGCACCTTGGGAGCGAGAGGGGGGCTGCCTTAGCAACCATCCTAGGCACCCAAGTCTCTTGGCAGCTGGCCTTGGAACTGCCACCTGTCTCTTGCAGTGCTCTCTCATTGGTGCCTAGCTTCCCTGATGTTATTAAACTGGATGCTCTTTAGGTAGCCAATCAGGGGTATGAAGTCCAGTGATGCCTGCTGAACCAGCAGAAACTATGAAGAAGGAGGAGGAGATTGGATTTATACCCTGCCCTTCACTACCCAAAGGTGTCTCAGAGCAGTTTACAATCCCTTTCCCTTCTGCTCCCCACAACAAATATCCTGTGAGGTAGGTGGAGCTGACAGAGCTCTCTTGAAAACTGCCCTTGAGAGAACAGCTCTGAAAGAACTTATGACTGACCGAAGGTCACCCAGCAGGCTTCATGTGGGAGAGTGGGGAATCAAACCCAGTTCTCCCAGATTAGAGTCCGCACTCTTAACCACTACACCAAACTGACCGGGGCTGCACATCACATGTGTTGGTGGGCCACATATTATGAACACTTCCTCCTATAACTGGATTACACAGTTAAATGTTGTAAGTAAAGTTAGTCTGGCGGTTCTTTTTGATGGACCAACTACAACCATTTGTAAGGCAAAATGGAAAACTTGTTCTCCATGCAAAATTTAGCAATGTGAATCATTTTAGTTCCTTCAGACAGCTGAGGAACTGATGAGGAAACCTTCAGAAGTCTAAGCTGAGATGCCTAGGTGACTGGGAACTTATGACAACAAACAGCTGTGTAATACTGTAAATAATGTAATGTCTATGTAGATATACCACTCGGGCCATTATGTAATCAAAATATAAGAACATAAGAACATAAGAGAAGCCAATGTTGGATCAGGCCAATGGCCCATCCAGTCCAACACTCTGTCACACAGTGAACAAAAATACCAGGTGCCATCAGGAGGTCCATCAGTGGGGCCAGGACAATAGAAGCCCTCCCACTGTTGCCCCCCCCCCCGCACCAAGAACACAGTGCATCACTTGCCCCAGACTGAGAGTTCCTATCTATACCTTGTGGCTAATAGCCACTGATGGACCTCTGCTCCATATGCTTATCTAATTCCCCCTTGAAGCTGTCCATGCTTGTAGCCACCACCACCTCCTCCTGTGGCAGTGAATTCCATGTGTTAATCACTCTTTGAGTGAAGAAGTACTTCCTTTGATCTGTTCTAACCCGACTGCTCAGTAATTTCATTGAGTGCCCATGAGTTCTTGTATTGTATATAAAGCAAATACCAAGAAATGAAGCATAAGCTTGAAAATGTGCATGCATATATCTAATAGCTGCCTATACATACATATATATATATTTATATATGACATTTACAAAGCTTTAAACCAACCCCCAGTCTGACTAAAAGCATTTTTTAACCAAGGAACCCAGCATATCCTATCACAGCTACAAAGAATGTTGTGGTCTCTTTGAGACTATTGGTACACTAGGTCCTTTGGACTAGAGGCTCTCACCTAATACAGATTTCGTGACTTTGCCTTTAACCGTAGCTTTATCTCTTGTGCGTCTTGAGACAATCTTTTTTTTCTTCCTCGTCAGCAACTGCTTCTTGGGCTGGGTGGCGGTGGTCGCTGTTCCTTTGGGCCGGGAGGCGGACACTAGCAAAAACGGGAAAGAAAAAAAAAAAACCCGCTAAGGCCAGAGTCCTCAGCATATCTAGGAACTGAACACATTGAGACTTCTGCATAAGCATGCAAATGATTCCGAAACTAAAAGCAAAGCAAACGGAAAAATGTCTTATTCCAGCTCTCATTTATTACCTGTTGATGCCTCCAGCAACTCCAAACCCTTCCGTAGCAAAGAAACTGACATTTTATTTTTTTTGTAGCAGTAGTATAATTTTTATTCGGTTAATAACCAGCACATTTTTCGGCCTTCACCCACGTGAACTACAATGCTTTTTGTTTCAACTCTATGGTGTTTTCTATGGTTACAGATATTTCCGTGTTTGGTCCTGCCTCTCTTCCGGGTTCTCCTCGTTTTTCCAAGCTGGATTTTGCCACACTTCCGGTAGTTGTGTTCCGTTTTCGCTCAGATTCTGTTGCGCTTGCTCAGAAGGGCGAGCAAGTTGTTTCCATCGCGGTGTATCGATTGAATAGGAAGGAAGTTGACGGCTAGCCTTAAAGACTGAATTTTGTTTGTAGGTTTAGCAGTGAAGGGGGTTATTGCTTTACTTTTGTTTTAATTTGTTTTCCTTGGACATTTCTCTCCGGTCTAATTTAAGAGAATTCTACGTGTTTTTAACAAGGAAAGCATAATCAGAGTTAAACAATCTTAACATGAAAAATATCTATAGTTAAGCATTAATTATAATACTTAAATGCTCTCCTAATACACACATATTCTACATGTTTCCTAAATATTACCGGGGGGTGGGTGTTGCCTGTTAGTGAAAATAAGATAAGGTGTGAGAATGGCAGCATGGGAGACATTTAAAAGTGTTTTTAAATATACAAGGCACGTTATGGGCTTTCCATAAGATGAGACAATTATGCTTAGGAAATCGATTCTGAAACCCGTTATTTACCCATCTTTTTAATGAGATGATGATACATGTTAAAAAGCCCCCAAAGAAGTTTTGGGTCTCCAAGCATCTAAAGTTACAGCATCCAACCTTACTGCTGGTCCAAAGCTTTATTCTAAACAAAATTGCTATCCAAGTGATTTTATCAAAGAACTCTATGACTGATGTGTTTTAATTAAAGTTCCTGAGGAGAGTAAGACCATGTATGACACCCAGGCATAAGCAAACTAAATAAAATTTACTTTTAAAAAATAGCAAAGAAGTTGTCTACATGTTTTGTAGCCACATATTGTGTCCTTAGTGTTAAGCAGCACATTTGTGCAAAGCTTTACTTGGGCCAACTCTTAAACTGACTGGGAGCAGGACTGCCAACTTAGCCTTCACTGTGTTATTTTGAATCTGATCATGTTTCTGGAATTACAAGTCCTAATGGGCAGATGAAGCCTTATTCACGGAAAGTTCTGGAGAAGCAAGTTAATGCAGTTGCAAAAAAGACTGTCTTCCAACTCAGCCTAGCCTGTAAGATGGTCCCCTACCTTGATACAGCTGATCTGGATCCACACCGCACTAACACAGAGACTAGACTACTGCAATGCATTGTATATTGGTCTCTCCCCCCCCCCCCCAATCGACTCAGAAACTCCCATTGGTGCAGAATGCTGCAGCCTGGCTATTATCAGGAGTTAGAGCATTCATTTTGCTCTCATTCTGCAGTCTCTCCACTGGCTGCCCGTCAGTTACTGGGCTCAATTTAAGGTATTGGCTATGATGCCCTTCATGGCCTTGGATCCTCATGTCTGTGAGACTGCCTCTCGCCCTATGCTCTGCTACAACAGCTTTGCTCCTCTAAGGAGGGGCTTGTGCAGGTGCCAGCCTGCAAATGGGCAAAATCAACAACTGCTTGTATGTGTGTCTTATCTGTTGTGGGGCCCCCCCTTATGGAATGGCCAGCCTGAAGAGGTCAGGAAGGCTCCCACTGTCCTGACGTAAAACTGAATTATTCAAGAGGGATTTTCTATGCAGGCTATAGGGTAGCGCTGTATGCAACGATCCACAAAGTGGTTAAGGACTGTGGTCTATACTACAGTGTCTACACTACTGTGCCTATTTAAACAGGCCTATTTAAACTGTGTCGATATTACTGTGCCTATTTAAACAGGCACTCTGGCTGAAGTGTTAGCCTGTGGCTCGCAGCCTGTGGATGGAATGCATGTGAAATCATGTGACGAGAGAATTTTGCCTCCTGCATGTGGAGAGAAGCTGACCCTGGGCCTTCATTTTTATACAGGATGTTATGTATTGAGCCTAAGCCTTTCTTCTTGCTGCACCTAGAACGGGCTGAGCTTACTTCTCTAGAACAATAGCTCACCTGGATCGAGGAACTAACCAATAGATAACCAATGTAATGTGAATAGCCTATCATGGGGCGTGTGTGTGTGTTGGATGTGGTGTTTTGCATGCTTATAAGCAGGACTCCAGCCCTGCTAGCTTGTCTTGTAGTTTGCTGAAATGAAATCACTGAATAAACCTGAGCTGATCACTGCAATGCGTCTAGAGCCCAGTATTTAACACAGGAGGGAGGATGGGGGTGTGCATTTCTGTTGTTTGCTGTACCAGGCAAGAGCTGGTTGTGTTTATGTCCTGTCCAGAGCCAGGCGAGAGCTGGTCTCTTGGCTTGTTTGTGCTATCTAGGTCCAGATGAGAGCTGGTATCTGGACTGTTGTCTGTAAACTGGTTGTCTGTCTTGTCCCACTTGCTAGCTGGGGATATGTCTGGTGGAGCAGAATGGGGAAGGGAGTGGTGCCACAATCAACAGGGTGTGGGTAGGGGGAGACATGTTGGTGAGAGAAGAACAGGCCAGGCAAGGAGAAGAGACAGCAGACATTTGTGAGCTGTTGCCCTTTCTGGTTCTTTTCCCAGCCAGGTTGATGATGCTGGTGACCATAGCAACATCCCACTGGACTTTAATATCTTGTTTTTAGATGCCAGGACAGTTACATGGGTAGTGGCAGGAATCTGTGATTTAATTCTGTGTGCGAGGGCTGACCTGGCATGCATCAATGAAACCTCGTGAGGGATGAGGGAGATGCTGATCTTTCTCAGCTACACTGCCTGGAGAACTCAATGATGCATCAGCATCTGGCAGGTGGGGAGGTGGTGTTGCTGTGGTTTATCAGGATACTATCCCTCTGGCTCAGTTCCCTGTCTGGGATTCTGCTGGGATTGAAGGAGTGTATTCAGTGCAGGAAGTGCAAGACGGGATTGGGATTCTGTTGTACTGCCTACCCCACTGCCCAACTGTCACGCTGTCTGAGCTTGTAGAGGTAGTCTCAGATGTGGTGTTGAGGACCCCTAGGCTGGTTGTCTGGGGGGGACTTCAACATCCATGCTAAGGCTACCTTGTTGGGAGTGGCTCAGGATTCCATGGTTTTCATCGCAATCAGGTAATAACAGGTCACACGCTTGATATGGTCTTTTGTTCTGGGCAATAAGGTGATCTGAAGGTGGCTGGATTAAAGCCAGTCCCCTTATCATGGACAGGGTACTAGTTGCTGGGGTTTAGACTTACAGGGGTTCCAAGACTCTGCAGAAGTGGGAGATCAATTAAGATGATCTTCCTCCATAGCTTGATGGAGGTGGTAGGTTTTCAGATGGAATTGGGGTTTTTTCCTGCTGGTATGGTTGGTGCTCCTGTCAATGCCCTCGTTGACCTCTGACATGGGGTAATGACCTGGGCAATTGACATGATTGTGTAACCCCTAGCTGCAAATGGAATGAGCCAGGAAGGGATGGAGCCTCTAGATGCAGAAGAGTGCAGGATGTGTGGAAAGCAGAGGAGGGAAGCAAGAGGGCCGTGCTGGGGAGCTTGAACCTTAATCATTGGCTCTTGACACCTGGTTTAAGGTAACTATGATTTATGGATGGAAACTCTTAAGGGAGGGAGACTCTTGTCCTAAATTGTAAATTTTAGAATTATTGTTTCAGGGCTGTTTTATCTAATGGGGAGTTTGTTAAGTCGCTCAGTCAGAGAGTGATTCAGCAAGAACACGGCTTTATTCTTCAACTCGAATACTTCTCCAACACGGATCAACATCTGATAGCCAGAACGGCTTTAACATTGCAGCTGTCCTGCTTTTAAACATTCCCGGCTAATATAGCCACGCCCACTGTACAATTAACAACCAATAAGGTTGAACCGATAAAGACCAATCACGGTCGTTCCCGCTCAGGGAACTTGCTTCTCAGTGATTGGCTTGTACTTCCTGGACTAGTGATACGATTGGATATGTTTGGATCCTAGTCCAGGACGAAGCTTAACATAGCATTCCTATGAGATGTTTCACATATGAAAGTACATGCATTCAAATACATCACAGATTCCAATACATCACAGAGTTCATTTGGGACCCTCATCTTCAAAGCCAGTGCACAGAGTGTTCCGCTGGAGACTTCCTGGGCCACCAACAAGAGGAAAGAGATGGACTTTGGGGGTGGCCAGCTCTGAAGGAGGGAAAAGTTAATTGTTTGGTCTTTAAGAGATCACTGTTCTATTGTGTTACTAAGTTCTATGTCTTTGTTACATGATATGATAAGTGAAAAGTAAAAAAGTTTTATTCTCTTTGAATTATTGCAAGATTCATTCCAAGCTCTTCCCCACAGAACCCACAAGCTGAGTTACAATTGTACCTAGGCAGCCTCTTTTATGTTGAAGAGCTCAGGCAGCCCCTTGGTTTACTGAGGGTCTGTGGGTGGTGAAAAGACAGGGGAGACAGAGTGTGGTGCTGGCAGAAGGCTGCTCTACCTTTTGGCCTACGGGGTTCCTCAAGGTTCCAACTTGTCCCCCATGCTTTTCAACATCTATGTAAAGCCGCTGGGTGAAGTCATCTGGAGATTTGGTCAGAGCTGCCACCAACATGCAGATGACACTCAGCTCTATCTCGAGCTGCCAGCAGATCCTAGGGAGGCTGTGAAAACTGTGAACAGGTGCCTGGAGGCTGTTTTGGAAAGGATGAAGGCTAACACGCTGAAACGTAGTCCAGAGAAAACAGAGGTGCTACTGGTGGGGGGAAGGTCTGACCTAGGAAATGGTTTATCCCCTGTTCTGGATGGGGTCGCACTCCCCCTAAAGAAGCAGGTTTGTAGCTTGGGTGTGCTCCTGGACCTGGGCCTCCTGCTCAATAAAGAGGTGGCAGTGGTGGCCAGGGCTGCCGTTTACCAGTTTCAGCCCTTCCTTGGCAGAAAGCATCTTGCTACTGTGGTGCACGCCCTGGTAACATCTAGATTAGATTATTGCAGTGCACTTTTCATGGGGCTGCCCTTGAGGGGTATCCAGAAGCTACAGTGGGTTAGGGTTGTCAGGTCTGGGTTGGAAAATACCTGAAGACTTTGGGGGTGGATCAAGGAGA